AACAATTAGGAATAGTTCAAGAACCTCATTGAATTATGGATGACATTGCATATTAGGTCAAAGTTTAGGGATTATTTGTGTTATTTTCTCTTCTCTTAACTAATTGGCTCTATGACAAAAAAAAAACAACTAATTTGGATCAATACATTTCCTTGAAGCCGTCACTTAATTAGCTTTTAAATTTTTTTTAATGAAGTCACGACCGTAATGAATAAATAAATTATTATTCCTAAAATGAGAGGGTATCTGTTTTTTGGCAAAAAGGAAAAAAAATTTCGAATGTATTTGTTTTCATGAAAATGATTTGCATGAAATAATTTTTCAAACTTTCACTTATTTAGTTTGCTGAAAGTGGATAATCAGCACAAAAGATTTTACGGTCAAGGAAAACCACTGTAATTAAAGTTGAGCAAAGTAATTTTTCTATTCTAAAAATAAGAAATAGTTTCCCAAGCTCCTTTTCCACATGTATTCTTACGCAGAAAAGCAAGTCGCGGTCATGTGAAGTTTAATGAGCAATAAAAGATTGAGTTTGTTAATTGTTTGCATTTACTATTTTTTTGGCATCCTTTCTTTAGTGGCTTTATTTTGATAATAAAAAACTTAAAAATTACACTTCATAAATTAGTCATATCTTAGATAAGGATTTTGGTATCGCCTTAGTATCTTATATTATGAACCAAATACGATTATAACAGAAAGAATAGTTTGAAAATAAGATTTAAACTTCGAAAAACTTTTTTCTATGTCACTAAACAATTGAAAAGTAATTATTTTACCTTAAACATAACTTTCACGAAAAACAATTTTTTAAGCAACTTTATTTCCACTAGCTACACGAAACTTGCCCAACTTGTTTCCTTTTTCTGCATCTTGCGCATATTGCTAATTTTACACTTTTCCTAATTCTCCTAATGGTATTGATAAAATTTAAGAATTAAAACTAGGGTACATGCTTGAGTCCAAGCCAAATTACGTTCGGGTTTCAAATATTTCCTTTTTCAATCAAAATCGAATGTCATTCTTACTTAACTAATTTAAGTAGGGTTAAACTATCCCTACTTCCTGAAAGCTGACATTTCTTCTGTAAATATCCATAGATGGAGAGACAGCCCTTTAATTACCGAGAGAGGAAAGGTTGTTAGTCATGGTGACTCCCGAGAGTTCTGGCAAAATTAGCTATGGATTCAGGAGTTAGGCTGGAAGATTTCAGCGTCGTCAAGAACGAAGGAGTCTCTGACGAATGCTTTCGATTCTGGGCATTGTTGGAGGTGTGCAAGGTCGCGAGAAAGAATTATAGAGAGGAGAAAAAGTTGCAGCAGAGGGAAGAAGCCAAGAAAGGGAAGAAAGAATCGCAAGCAGCAGTAGAGGGCAAGACGACGTTGGTGAATGAGGGAGGACGAAAAGAAGTTGTTGGAAGCGTCTGTTGATAAAGATGTGAGGGTGCTGTGCTGCCGTTCCCCAGAAGAGAGACTAGGAGAGAAGGGTCTCAAGTTGAGACTGTGGGTGATGCACAAAAAACCCAAAGGCTAAAGGGCCGCCGGTGGCAAGGAGAGAGAGTCTCTGGAGACACGCGCAGGCGGAGAGGATAACACCAGTGGCGAGGAGGAGGCCGGATTGTTGAAGAAGGGCAAATCAAGAGGAACGGATGGTGGCGAAGGGCCAAGACCATCGTGGATGTACATCTTGAGGACCAGCTGGCCCCAGTTTGTAAAGGATAGTAAGCTCGAGCTTCACGAGGTCGTCCGGATTTGGTCGTTTCGGGTCGACTCGGACTCGGCTCGCGACGAGTTACGCTTGGCCTTGATCATACTACCTGGAAAACAGCTCTTTAATTAGAGATTGGACTTCGATAACAGCTAATATTGTGGAAAAATCATATTATAAGGTTCGACAGATGGGTGGCTTCATACATATTTAAAATCATATTTGGGAGAATTATCTCATGGGAGGAGACCCTTACAGTCATTTGTGAGAGAGTAATGGTCAATTTTCTTCCCTATAATCCTCTCAGCTAACAAAATTTATAGAGGCGGGAATGTGAGAATAGCTCAGTTTATAAAGGGCAAATGGAGTCACTTCCACAATTTTCAATTAGGTAAGGCAACGAATATACTAGGAGCATTGCATAACTTGAAATATTTTACCATCCTCGAAAATAACATACTAACATCTTCGAAAACTTTTTAAGCGCATCCTTAAGATCGTTCATTATTCCTCTTAAGGCACAACTTCAAATGTATAGTCTAAAGTCCATGGAGGCCCGAAAAAAAAATCATATCCAAAAAAGCATGCTTGGCTGCATGCTACATATGAAAAGAAAATAATTATGGTAAACCCATCAACTGCTAAAAATGATATGATAGGAGACGGCTTACACCATCTCCAAAAGCCCAAAAAGCAGTCGCCGATGTCATTAGCCACAGTTTACAAGTCGTGCTAATGCCATTAGCGGCGGCTCGTTGACCAGCATCTACAGACTTGCCGCCAAACATGATAGGGGACTGCCCGGTGCAGGGATTTTTACAAGAGGGCCGTAGCAACCGTCCCTAAAGGTGTGCTGCAACGACGGTTCGCCTATCGTCAATAGCACCTCTAGAAGTCGCCGGCTCGTAAGCAGTCCCCAGAACAGGACGTTCAGCACGAGACTGGCAAATCCTAGTGTGGGAAGGTTACAGCATTGAAGTGGAGTGGGATTTGTGTGCTTAATATGGGATTGACCTTCAATAGTCCTTGTAAAAATATATGTTTTCACCAGAAATAAACTGTATAATTTTCGAAACCCTGCTGGTTGTTACTTGTTACCAGATTCGTTAATCTTTCAGGTGCTTTCCGTTGGGTCATCTTTCTTTCTTCTTGTAACATAGTTGGACTGGGTTTTCGTAGTTAGTTTCTCCGCTGGTATTGTATAAAGGTGGCGCTGAAGATTATATGGGTGCATCCCACTTACATTATTCACGAAAGAAAGAGAGAAAAATCAAGAAGAGATCGTAGAGTGAATTTCTTTCTTCTTTGTCCTTTCGTATTGAGAAGATACTGGTTTCACAGTGGATGAACGCAAGAGGCCGCTACGTTCCGAAGATTTTGAGGGCTGTTCCATGGACCATCTTCCACCCAACGAGATGCTTGGGTTGGTAGGCAGAGCCGCGAAGGGTCAGCACAGGGGAGAAGGATCGTCTCGTGGACAAGAAAATCGCGCATTGTCCATCGAAACCTCGAGCAGTAATGCATCGAGAGGAGGCGAACCACCGACGAATGGGGGGTGCAGTAAGCAGCCCGTAGACACTCGTCCAAGAGTGGGAAATAGCGTAGTTAGGGAACAAGATGTTCAAGAAAGAAACTCCCAAGAAGGATATGATGCAGATAGTGACTTTTTGAGTAAGTGGATAACGAAAAAGTTGTCAGGCGAAGGAGAAAGCTCCGCATCTGAAGGCGACGAGGACAAGGAATGGACATCAGGAGAAGACGAGAAGAGGTGCGGCAGTGGCGGCGAGTCGAAGAGGAAATCCGGGTCGCTGGACAAAGGGGCCGGAGAGGGCAGCAGCAACAGAAACCAGAGGCTGATGTTCTCCAAGAAAGACTTGCCACCTCTTCCCAACCCACCACCAGAAATGCCTGGAGAGTTCAAGGACAAGATCAATGGGTCGGGTGGCAAGGAGGTCACACTGGTCATGCAAAAAGTGATACTATACTCGGATATGAGTAGTCAAATGTGCCGCCTCTCGCTCCCCAAGAACCAATTCAAAGAAATGGGTTTCCTGAGAGAGGGAGAGAGGAGAAGTTTGGATGCGAGAGAGGAAATACCCGTCAGGGTGATTTTTCCGAACTTGTCGGAGAAGGACCTGATCTTTACAGTCTGGGAGATGCGCAAAAAGGGCAAAAGCAATGCGAAGAAGGCGGAGCTGGCGCATAACAAGGATGGTAAAGACAACAGTGAGAAGAGGGCGAAGAGAGCGAAAACAGCGCATGGCAACAATGAAGATGGTAAGACGGAAACTAAGAAAGCGAAGTCGACGGATGAGCAAGGCAAAGATGGTACAAAGGAACTAAAACCATCGTTAATGTATGTCTTGAGGACTGGCTGGAGAGCTGCGGCTGAGGAAAGCGGGCTAGCTGTACTCGATAGGATTCAAGTTTGGTCGTTTCGCGTCGATTCTGATGCTTGTCAAGATCGGCTTTGCTTTGCTTTGATCAGACTACCAAGAGAAGACCGCAGTCAAGATGCAACGGGTTGCAGCAACTTTGAAGAAGCTGGGGGTTGCTCCACTTCAGAGAAAGGAAGCAATACAGCTCAGAACCAGGACTAGTTTGTGTGTCCCCTGGAACTTCCACTGATTTCAATCGATTTTCGTCAAGAGTAATTTGAGTTGGCATTTGACAACATGTTGAGTGCCATGTTTTTTTGTTTCTCATGTATTTTCGAGCTCATAATCGTACTGAGTTTTTGTTGGGAGGGACATATACAGCATCCCAACTGTGCAGAGTCTTGCTTTTTCAGCTGGCGTCAATGATTTTCCTCTTTTCATGAGCGATCACGTCACGAGAAGTTGAAAATTTTGCGACATAATTGCATGCTTCAGGGTGTGATATTATAGACTTATAGATCAGGTGGACTCGCGCCACCTCATCCACCGGATGCCAGCAAGAGTTTTTCGAACTTCCCTTCCACCCTTGCAGTTCAATATCTGAGTAGCTCGAACGGCTTTGATCTTTTGTATTAGATACAGCGGTCGCCACACCTCACTCAATTTACATGTTTTCATTTGGCAGTCAATAATTTACATGTGGGTAATTAGCAGACAACTGATGCAGAGTTTGAGCAAATTCTAATACACATGCTTGCAGATAGCCCTGGAAAAGCTCTGCTATGATCAGCTTCAATTGCTCTGTTGAACTTCCATGAATCTCCGCATCTGTCGGAATTGGAAAAGATAAAACAACAAATATCACATATATCCTGCAATTTTCCGTTGAACATTCAGACACAAGCACACGCAACCTGAGAAAATTTGGTTAGCATTTGATTAGGGAAGATGAAATATGAGTATGAACAGATATACACAGACCCGAGAAGCCGAACCTCCTGACGAATCAACAACTTTTATTGAGCCGAAAAAGAAACAATTGTCAAAAAGAACCAGATTTGATTCTGATCTACTCCTTTTCACAAGAATTACAATCATAACTCTGAAACCTAGAAGTCACTCATTTCGCGAGATGGGTTAGTTTGCCTCCTTGTGGAGAAACAAATTGACTGTGCTGTGCAAACCTAATTCATGAATTGCCGGCAGTTTGGAGCTTTGCATAAGCAGGGGACTTTGAATTCATCTGGCTCATCAGGATCGAATAAGTAATCATACCTGCCACAAACGCCACAGATAATTCAGATACACACACGCGCACATACATATGTATATATATATATATATATATATATATATATATATATAGAGAGAGAGAGAGAGAGAGAGAGAGAGAGAGAGAGAGAGAGAGAGAGAGAGAGAGATACGTTAGTTCATCCCCGGCTGATACGTTGGTCTTGGCAATAAGAACTATTCTGCTCTCGTCATGGCCTACACTCATGATCCGTGCATAGCAATTGGGCATACACTGCATGAGAAACAGAGAGATCATGAGAAGAGTGCTACATTGAATTACAGAGAGGAGGGTCCATGTTTGAAGAAACCTACCGAATGGTTGATGAGACGCGCTATATTTCCTTTATCAGTAGCATCCACCACTACTTCTTCGCTGATCTTAAATAACTGCAATCGGGATTAGCTCAAATTCAATTTCTTGAGAAAGAAACAGTAAATTAATTGAAAACAGCGTATATCCATGAGAAAACAGGGACGGAGTTCTGAAGATTTCTGCACTCCGATGCTTAAAAACTTACATAACAGTCCTTCCCTTCCTGTCGGTACTTTGCCTCCCTAAGATCTGCAATGCTACGCCTCACCTGCTCCCCTCGATATTCGATAACCTGCAGAGAACAACACAATATTCACAATGAATGAATGGAAGTATCTGTATCACATGGCGACCGATAATTACTGGATGCAAATCTCCCATTTTTTCCTCTGCATTTTCCAGATCAAATAGGTCAAAAGAGAATTACCATACATCGGTCCCAGGTTGTCAGCTCAAAAATATGAGACAGACAGTGCACCAAGAAAATAAACCGGCATTACTCATTACAACACAATGTCTCGTGCACATTTATTATTGCTATGCCATATGAAACTATGCTCGATGCCCAAGGTCCACGCAAGGAAAGAGCACAAAAAAGGCCAAAGGCACTGTACTTACCATCTCTCCTTCTTGGATATTCCTCCTTGCAAATAGTCCCCACCCATGTATTCCAGATCTACCGAAGCAAGCTCGATCATGTTCAGTTCTCTGTAGTCATATCAGTAACACGATGTGGAATTAGAAAGCAAGGGAAAACGAAAAAGAAAAAACAGCAAAAGAGCATGAAAGGAAGAGCATTTGCCTGCAAGTGTAGTAGTCTTTCACGGAATGATGAGAATGTATTGGGCTCGTCTACTTCCTGTAGATGCAATGATAGCAAATTTTAATAATGAGCTGCACATGTCTCAACTTTTGATTTGCAGATTAAAAACACAAAAGCAACTAGAAAAGGACAAGGGTATACTCTAAATTTGTTCAAACTGTCAACTATGCCTAGAGAATGATGGCAAGATCCTTTGACTCTGTGAGGAATAGCTTCTTCCCCAGATCTCTAGCAAGATGAAAAGTCAAAGGAAGATAAGTACAAGATTATCTTTGTCATGTTATGCATGCAAAAAAACAATCGGATAGATCGAGAAAGTTGTGAGATGAACCTTCCGGTTATTTTTCAATCTTCTAAAGACCCGGCATCTTGCAGCAGAGAGTGGATCCAATTCACTGATTTCTGCTGCTGGAACATCTTCAAGCACTCGTCTAGATGAAATGAGCCTTGAACCACCCCTCCTTTTGTTTTGTATGAGGCTTTTAGCGGAAAAAACCCCTGCAGGAGTTTGTATGATGAGAACAGTATCTGGATTTGGGGCCCTGAACCAAAAGAAAAAATCATTAAGTCATAACCAACAGTGATAATGAGTTACGAAGACACGGGCAGTGCTTGGTGATCCAGGCAATTCATTGAAAGGAATTGTAGAGCCATGAGTTTGGTTCAAGTTTCACTGGGTAGATATGGCTAGAAGGAGAACACATTCTCATAATTGGAGGAGGGAGGTGCTAAAGCTTTCCTTCTCTAAGGAAAGAGAACATATTCTCGTAGTTGTAAATTGAATACAAAATGCACAGACATGTGCAGCGTTCTATGGGTGGTATGGTGACTGAACTTGTGAGAGAATGAAGAGTGCTTATCCAATAGTAGGCATTCACAGAGGAAAGGAGAGACAATGGAGAGGGCTTAAATATTTGGCAAGATATCCAGACTACCCATTTAAGGAGGTAAAAAACCTATAATAAGGAAAAAACAATGAGAAGTAGAGAACAACGAATAATATGCAGCGGGTGCACAGTGGAGTTAAGCAGGGTCCGTCATTATTGTGAAAACACAGAAGTGAGTCCATACCGGTGATAAGCGCAATAAGAGATCATCCTTGTAATCTGTTTCCCATTTTTCTCCAAGCTATGCAACTGAAAGCCAAAAAAGAAATATACTTTAAGAAGAGACATCCATGTTTCCAGTCTGTTTTCTGAAATAATCCAGACAGATACGTTACTCATACTAGCCCAAAAGTACCTAAAAAGTTTGTTGGCTCCAGTTATACCATCAAGCAACAGTATTGGACTTTAGCCAAATGAATATAGTAAACTGGACAACTACCCAAGTTCTGAAGGTTGTGATGACTCACCTCCATTCGATACCCTGCCCTTGATGCACACATTGCATGGTAATATGTCGAGCATTTGCAGCATTGCGTACAGGAACCATGAATTTGCTTACAAATAACGCATATCTGAAGTTTAATTCACATATGTGTCAGCAACATATTCAAGTGAGATAAAGCCAAACACACCAACAGGACATCCACCATCCTAGACAGCAATGGTGAGTTAGAAACGATAATTGCAGAAATGATAAAAGACAAGACTAAACATGAAAATTACTGACATAAAGATGAGAAAAATTATAGCAAAAATAACATACACTACAATCATAAAATATGTAATATACTTGACATTTCTATCATTGAGGCAAATATTATATTTGGAATGTTATGCCTGGGTTATTAAAAGCTTCACATTACTAAAACGAGTTAGCATCTCTTGATTCATAAAAAGCAAGATGCTGAATAAGCATTTTTTTTGGCATAGATGCCGAACTAGGTTGAATTTGTTAAAGAAAAGTAAAAGTAAAAACTGGGAATTCAATTTCCGAGACAGGCTTTAACCTTAACAAAAGAATTTGATGGAATGCTTAAGATCCCAATGGCAGGCTCCATCTTCTCATCACTTGCAAAGGCAACTTCAGGTCGAAACCACGCACATGTAACATGAACCCATAATGGCTCCACATCAGTTGGCTTCAGTGCACCACCTAAAGAGAAAACGTTCAGCCATCGAGCTCAAGTAAATATGAAGAGACAGGAACTAACCTACTGAGCAAGTTCTCCCAACCACATACAACTGAAATATTTTCAGACATGGATTGAATAGAGGAAGCACAGGTGCAGAGACCCAAAAGTGTTTAAAACATTAGGAAACTGTTTCTAAACGTCTGAGGAGTAAATTAAAAAGCAACAGATATTTGACATATATATATATATATATATATATATATATATATTTGACACACACACACACACACACACATATAAAACATATATAAAACAATGGAACTTTGTTCAATACAGCTTGGCTCTCATATATATATAAGGGGATTTTCATATGCGCAGATAAAAATTCAATAGTCCTCTCCAGACTAGTTCCAGATAAGATACATCATGGCACTACCCTAACAAATCAGATACCACAAAGATAAAAAGCACCAATGAAGTACCTTTTACAGGACAAAGACAGCATTCCCTCTTGATGTCAGGTGTTTCACAAGCTTTGCATACCCATGATGTTAAATCTCGCACATTTCTTGCCCCATAGCACTCTTGATGAACCGCTATTTGACATCTAATAAGTACACAGTGACATAATTATGATTCCAGAATAACCTTAGTGCCAAAAACAAGTAAAGGAAGGAAGAAAGGAAAAAAAAATCATAACAAGCATTAACAGGTCATTGGACCAAAATAATGTGCTAATCCTTGGGTCTCCTGAAAAAAAAGGCCCAGAATAATATCTCCTGCAAAGGTACTTTGTCAGAACTAGATACTTGCAATATATAAGGTGGGTACAAGATGCTCTGCTCCTCCCGTAATCCTAGAGTATAATCTTAATAGGAGGTGGCTTGTTATGATTGAGATGGAAGTTATTTAACCACAATTTTATGGTGATTACCTGTTGCAGATAATAATTTTGTTGTAATCCCAATCTTCAACCCATCTACAGACAGCACATCGCTCGGTCGTCCATTTAGCATACACTGGTTCATACCTCTCTGTCTCAACGATAAAGATTGGCAAGTAAGAATTGGCTCTTTCAATCAGAAGAGTATATGCTAATAAGGGTAAGCAAACCTTGCAAAAATGCGAGCAGCTTCTGCTTCCTCTCTTTCATAGGAGGCCGTTTAGGCGGCTTCCCAGAAACTAAAGTTTTTTCATGGTATTCAGCCAATTGCAGCATCTGCCAATCCAAAAAGGATTTCAATATACCTCTCTCATGTAACTGGCCACGCTATTACCAATCATGGAAGACAAGTTATATTAAGGTTTCAAAACTCAGACTCAATAGATCTCTGCTCAGCATATAAAAACCCAACACAGGCACATCATCTAACAGAAACGCAAGAAAAGGTAACGGTACTAGAAAAGATGATCCACATCCATAAGAGGAAGCAACCAACAAGAACGTCAAATCTCTCTCAAAAAATTGAGAACCCCAGATTTAGACTGATTTAGAGATAGTCCAACTCAGTTAGAGATAGGGAAACTGCCTCACTGATTCAGGAACAAAGGAACCCAGAGACTTGGCTTTACCAACCAATCAAAAGAAACTAAAACGAGTCAACGATAAAAGGTACACTTCTTTAATAGAAAGATCAGTGAAGTCATGTAAAATTAAATTTGCAAAAATCTGCACAAGGGCACAAATTAGGAAAGGAGTTTGCCCCTCATCTTCATGGCTTTTGCTTGTCTTTCAACTCAAGGTTTGGCAAGGATCGGCAAAAGAAGGGAAAAATTGCATTGAAAATACCTAGCAACAAAAGTTAGCGGCAGATTATATTGCCTTGAAACAAGGGTAAGAGGAGTTATTCTGGCTCCAACTACATGGCCCTTTCCTTCCCTCAGGCTCAGATCTTGCCACTGCTAACTTATCTTCATCATTGCAGTAGATTCAACATAATATTTTACTTTGAAGGTGCCGACCACTTAATTCTAGATTCGTGGTCGTATGTGCACTTGTACTCAGACATTGCCTTCACCAAGATATGGAGGGTTCAGGCAAGGAAAAGGCTCCTTCTCAATTGTATACCACGACCAATGACATAATATTCTGCACTTCTGGAGAAAGTAGCACAAGTACCTCATCCCAATACATTGCTACAAGGAGATTTCCTCCTTGGGCTACATCTAAGACCAGACACCACTAGCTACTGGAAAGGTACGTCTCAACTGCTGACCAAGTGATAGTCTAGTAATTAAAATTATTGCTTGATGCTGACAAATAAAAAAAAAAAAAAAAAAAAACCCACAAAAACCATCAACAATTTTTTTGACACGTCATAAAAGTGATGAGCATAATGCAAAAATTTGGCTTAAGCACATACCCATTTCTCCAGTGGTAACATGGAACCTTTCACCTTTATGCTGGTTTTCCAATTCCTTAACTTGGAATTTGTATGTCGTTCCCAGTCACTCAGTGCTTGTTTTTTTGATCCACAAAGCCCACACTTGCAAATAACTCTGAGGAGACAAGGAGAAGAAATTAAAAAGCAATTCATCAAATTAACCAATTGGTGTATTTCTGAGGATTGTAACAGAACCAAAGTTTGGACAGTTATATGAATGCAGAAAGTCAGAGACCATGGAAAGGATATGCAGTGATGCAGGACACTGTAAGTTAAACTTACAAATGAAGGCTTGGAAAGTAGATGCCCTCAACACCAGCACAAACGACTGTAACTTTGTTAGGCAGCACCAACTGGCCACTACTCCTGTTCATCCTTCAGCAAAAAGTAGAACAACTATTTAGCAAGTGAGAACTAGACAAAGTTACAATGCTACGTATATAAAAGCAGTACATCTAGCATTCTCTCAGTAACAGGCAAGGAATTTCCAAAAGTGAGAAGGTTTATTTCTGAATAAAAACAACTGGCACACAGAGAGAGAGAGAGAGAGAGAGAGAGAGAGAGAGAGAGAGAGAGAGAGAGAGAGAGAGATGGTGTGCAATTACTTTATTATAGGTTGGGCCTTTTCGGAATCAGATAATTCAAAATTGAACTTCGCTCTACAGGCAGGGCAATAATAATCAGTGCCACCCATCTCCTTCAAAAATGGTAAAATACAAAAGAATAGTCAGAGGTTGGACCATTTGCCAATGCAAAACAGAACGATGTAAATGATAGTAACTGTACCTTAAAACGGTTACTTGAGATTTTATCGCACTCCGCATGAATCCAAACTTTACAGCCATCACAACGTACCTAATGCCATGAGAATGTTAGAAAATTTTACTATAAGGAGTTACGGAAAAAAGCAGTATATCAGATTAAACCCCCCAAAAGGTCAGTTCTCCTTACCCAACTCCCGCTGTCAGAATGATTCCATATCTTCTTGCATATGCCGCAGTAATGATTTGATTTTATCATCTGCAAACAGAAAAAGTTCAGGTAATTTCAGCATTTTATATATGTCTTCAATGCTATATATGGGTTTCGCATACCCGTCAGTGCCATGTAGTCGATTTATTTCTACCTATCATATGAAATTATATATGCCATTACAGGAAAGATGAATTTTACAGACCCTAGAACACAATCGGCACAGTGATTGCCCTCCAGGAGTTGAAACTTTCTCTTTCTTTGTCATTCTCACTGGAAGGATAGATCCACAGCCTTCACAGCACCGTGGTTCTTTCTTCGTCCCAGCTACATCCTGCAGGAGAAAGTTCAACCACGTAAGGATGATCGTGAACATCATCAAATATATTTATCCCAATCATACTACTGACCAAGGTAAGAGGAAGATAGGCATGGATGATGATTCCCACCCTCAAGTTTTGGTCCCCCCCTCCCCCCCCCACCCGCCCCCCCCACAACACCCAAAAACAAAAGGAAAACGAAATCTATCCTAACTCCATTGTCACGCAAAGACGAACCTCTGCTGGCCAACTGATTCCATGAAAACCAAACCCAGGAAAATCCAGATATCATATAACTATCAACTAGACTTGAGTGCCATTAGCACTAAACATGGATTCTAAGAGATGAGTAATAGATCTATTCGATATGTCAAGAATGTTCCCCAATGAATAGAAATTAAGTATGTAAAGAAAGAGGCGCCTTAGAGAAACCTACCGAGTTAAGATAGTTAAACTCTTGATCTTGATTTGAACCAGTAGCCTCCTCAATCCCTCTATAAACAAAATCAGCAGCCGTCGTATTTCCAGCAGCCAAATTAATGTCATGTGTCAACTTTTCAGTAAAACCATTTTCTGCTAAAAATGCCTCCTCCATTGCAATTTGGAAGTCGCTGGGTTTGCAGTCCTTCAACTCAGGCTGCTCCTGAAACCTGCAAAAAGCACACTTTGGGCTCAGGACAATTGAGCCTTCTCCCAAAGATCCAATATCTGAGTGAAATGAAGCACCAAGCACAGACCTTTCCACAAAGTCCATGAATGGGAAAATCCTCCCTCGTCTCACCCACGCGAAATCCTGATTACAAACACTTGAACGTTCAGAACAAGATGCCAATTATTTACACAACAGCTCATGTATATATTTCAGTAAATAGAAACCAGCACAAGTAGAGAAAGTACTTCCTGCGCATACCCTATGATCCTCACTCCCAGCATAACCAAAGAACATCACACAAGCTGCGTCAGCGATACAAGCTCTTAAGACCAGTTCTGGAGCTTGTGTCAGTGGATCAATGACAATGGCAGGCCAAAAAGGCTCAAATTCCCCAGATTTCGCCCACACAATATCGCCTGAATAGAAGTCCTCGGGCCCATACAATCCATCTTTCCTTTCCTCACGCCAATCCATTAAGTTTTCCTTTCTGTCAGTTTCCTCTACATCTAACCCGCTGAACTCACCAAGATGGTCCTGTATAGACGTAAGCGAACTGCGGGAGGTTGAGTACTTCCTTATGTCGATATTCCCACGCCCAACTTCTTCTTCCTCAGCTTCTTCACACAATGTACCATATCCGAGATACCTGAAACCAATTTCATCCTCCTTTCTCCTATTTTTCAAGCCATTACTCAAAGTTCTAGCCACTTTATTACCGAATTTCGGCTTTTTACATTCGACGATCTCGTACTCGTCGACGTCACTGTCCAACAATCCAGCCTTAGTAGTACTCTCTTTCCTCCAGTTATCAATAACAGAGTCATTGAACCGAGAAGGCAATACCTGGACTCTTCCCCTGGAGGTCCTCACCAGAGGGGGCCGCGAAATCTCCACCGCCCGGCTCGCCGCCCTCCCCGAATCTTGAGCCTGGGATTCCAACTCGGCCTCTTCCGGGGAACAAGACAATTCCGTGCACCACGAGGCCGCGAATTGCTTCTCGCCCAGAATCCCGGGGATCACGCCCGCGGCCACCTCGCCGAGGAGATTCAACGGGTAGTAACCGTTGCCCAATTTACCCTTCTTCCGCGCCCCGGCCTCCCCGTCCCCGTTCGGCTCGGCCGCCGGGTCCCCGGGCTTCCTCCGCTTCAGCCTCGGCATTCGCGACTTCAATTTGCGCTTGATTATCATCTCTCCCGGCCCCGCGAAACGATCGGAACCCCACGCAATTCTCTCAATGCGCCATGCTCGCCCTCAATTCCCGCATCGAGACCGGAGTCCCCGAGCTAAGGACGGAAACCCTAATCGGACGAAGAGCTCGAAAACAAGAACAGGGGAAGAATCCGGAATCGCCGCCGCCGGCGGAGCGATTCGTGAGGAACGAAGAAGGGGAAGAGAGAGAGAGAGAGAGATGGAACAGGGGATTTCGAAGAGAGAGAAGAAAAGGGTCGAAAGCAAATAAAGGGATCTGCGAGATAAGAACTTTGCTTCAATCCCAACTGCTGCTTCTTCTTCTTCTTCAGGGTAGAGAGAGAAAGAGGAGAGAGGAGAGAGAAAGGTGTGCGTGTGCGCGCACGATAAAGATTGGTTTTTGGCTCGGGAAACAGAGAATACAGGAGGAATCGCTCACTGGGTCGATTTGGGTTTCGAGAATTGGAGCGAGGAAAAGGGCGTCATCCCTTTTTTTTTTGTTGTTGGGAATAGCAGTTTCCTCTCTGCGTGTATCTTTCAGGGGAAAATTTTTTTTTTTCTAGAGAGAGAAAGCGAGCTGACACAGAAGAGAGAGAGGGGGCGTTATCTTGTGCGAGAGAAGAGTGTATATAATGCATGATGTTGGTGACGAGAAGAGTCGATTTGGGCTCACAGCTCTCGATCTCAAAACTTGGGAACCACGCGAGATTTGCTTAGTGCAATTTTTATAAAACCCGGGCATATATTTGCACGATCGAAATCGATCGATCCAAATTTTGCTGCTTCCGAATTCACTGGTTCGTTCATCATTGCTACTTTGCTTCAAGGTCTCGAATTTCTCTCTCTTTCCCGTGGCTCTTTTTTTTCCTTTAGCAGAGGTCAAAGGTTTTGGTGACTGAAAGTTTGTCGGGGTTCCCAATGTGTGACCATATTCGAGCAGAAGCTCCGGAGGAGTTGGAACACTCGTGGGCGCGACTCTTCCTGATTCCCATTTGATCGGCCTCGATTCTTCGGTGTCGTTGGTAAGCGATCGTGTCATGTTGCTTTGGAGCAAAAAGCGAATTTTTTTATCTGTTTTGCGTACCATGGTTATGTGAAGCGTGTGCGTTAGCGTTACCATCTTCTGTCGCGAGGATTCCGAAAAATTTCTTCCAAATGTTGTTTCATGGGAGATCCCGAAATCCACGAAGGGGGTCCTCGCGATGGTGATGTAGTGCGCACGAAGTCACGGAAGGTACAAATTTGTTTGATGGGGTCCATCTTATCGATTCGTGGGTAGGTTTGATTTTTGGGTCTTCTTCAAGAGGAATGCGGCATCTTTCCGGCGATTCTCGGCGGCGGGTGGCGGTGCTGTGGCGTCTGGTCACGGCGGTCGGGGGGGGGTCTCTCTTTCATATTACGAGGTTGCTCCCTTCGTCTGTTTTGGCGGTTGGGTTCGTTGGTGGGTCCTCAAAATTTTCTTTTCCTTTCCCCTTTTTTTTTTTTCCCCGAAATGGGTATTGGGGACGATGGTGCCTTTCTTCTTCATTAATGGCAGTGTCGAATTACACACATATATTCTCTTCCCACTTTCGCGGAGGATTAGAACTCGAGCAGAGAGAGGTTTCTGAGTCTCGATTCGACGAAGCGACTATGGAGAATCCTTAATGATTCCGAAAAAAATTGCGTAGTTTCATCATCTTCCATGGTGCGCTCCCATGCGATTCGAAGATTTCGAACTCGGGACGAGATAAGTAGAAATAGAATCAGTGCCATCTTTTTCCTCCCCCTGTAAATGATGGCTGTAGACGGGTTCACTGAATTTGTGCGATTTTTCCTAAGCAAATTGATTAAGTCGCAAGGTGGGTTGTCTCTTCTTCTTCTTCTTCTTCTTCTTCTTCTCGTGTTATTTTAATATATTATCGAATTTCATTTGGAATGGGGTGCGCTTCAGAGTCAAAAGCTTGGGCTTTTTGCATCAATGGCATCGTCCACTGCAAGCGACAAGCCGAAATTCATGAAAGCTTAGTCATTTGATGCCAATTAAACAGAGCTTCGTGTTACGTCCTTTTTGTTGTTATGGTGGGTCACTTCATGGGATCATAAATACTAAGAAGAGAGAGAGAGAGAGAGAGAGAGAGAGAGAGAGAAAAGCGGGGCTTCATGAGGGTTTGGCCATGGCAAGAACTTGGAAGAAGAGGAGGAGAATAGGGGCTGTCGAAAGCTACGGTTCTTACTGTGGATATTGGGGACGAGATCATAAGCCTCTCTGTACCGTACGATCGATTTTTCGCGGCCGCCCGAACTTAACGTGCAATAGGTCCGACCGATCATGGGGATGGATCCTCGAACTGTTGCTGGGTGGGAGACGACGAGTTTTCATGGTTAATCATTGGTCGCTTTTTGATTTATAAGAAGCAAAAGTCTCACAAGTTTCGCTCAAGAGAGGAAGGGTCAAGGTCAACTTGCGTGGGAGTGGGTGGAGTTGGAGCTTTCAAGGGGAAAGGTCACGGCAAGAGAGAGAGAATGTTTTGGATGTAACATACATTACAAACTCTCCTCTCTGTGCTTGCTTCTTGATAGGAGGCAATATGCGTCTGCGAGCACAGAGGACGGCGATGTGTCCTCTCCGACTCCAGAATTGTCCCCTGATGTGGTTCCAGCCGTGTGGCGGCACGGGCGGCCTCCGTGCTCGCCCGTTGAATACAACTGAGTGCCATTGGGTGGCGATTGGAACGAGTTTGGCTTGTGTCGTCGGAGGACATATCCCCGCTTTGCGGTCGAAACCGTAATTGTCGACCAAATACGTCCCCTATCGATCTCATGATCAGTATTCAGTCGCTGATCTTTTCATTTTTCTCTGAATTGCAGTAAGGTAATGGTTGGGTTGGCTTTTAAGTACACTAAACATACTGAAGTCACATTACTAATTTAGACAACGGCAAACCGGCCGGTCATGCCGCTTCCCAGATTTCGAGAGTCGTGGGTTGTTCATGGTTTGACTTTCGACATGAGTGTCGAGGAGGAATCGAACTTCAGAAAGGCGCAAAATTTAGATCGCTTTGTCGCTGTCAGATTTTGCGCATCTGATTTCTTTAGACGATTTTCTCTTTTCTTGGAACGGGGAGTACAATACATGGTGAGGTTGACTCCTCAGATCGAGTCTTCAGATAACATGGCAAAGGCCGCTGAAGTTACATCTAGAGATATGGCTCAAAAGAGGCACAGGTACATAGTTTTCAGAAGTCGCCCCTTTAGTTTTTCCTTGAGCCTTGGAATGGTATGGCGTCGCGGTTACAATTTCATTCCCATTCCCGAGCAAGACGATAGTACACTAAAATCTAGAACTCACCTTCCCCTATATTTGTTCCTCGAACTTGCTAATGTACTGTTCTGACATTCCTTAATCTGGGAGCCGAGGCAATAAGGTGTCGATGAATTCCAATTTCATTCCTGCATCGACACTCTGAAGGTTTGAGTGCCGCCCTGGGTTAGTCACAATTACAGTGTCGAGACATGTTCGACTTCTTCGTGTTACTTTCATGACTTCAGCTGCAATATGCCTCGACAGAATGCCGAATTAGCTTTTTGCTAATCATTCGACGAACTTATGATCCCATCAGGAGGGACATGCATTCGAACGAAAGCACAGCCATGTTACACGATCATTGATGCAGGTGAACTTCATAAAACTTAGTCCGATATCACCAAACCCTCTGAAGCTTGGAGAATAGAGTGCCGACATGATCAGCTACAGAAGAATCCGACGAAACCAAATAACACTGCTCTTACTAACATTATTAAATATGTCAAATACATTCTTCTGGGCTTTAACTTTATTCAACACTCCTCACGTACAAATCTAACTTGACCATTTAAGTCTACTAACTAGTCCCAACGATTAATAAGAAATTAAACCTAAATCCTCCAGTAGTCATTTCGAACCTTAACTGAGCCAGCCTCTGAGAGGGGTGGCCACTGATCTTGATTTGTTATTTCATCTGTCTATCTCAGATTGTCACGACTTCTAAGTCCGACTTGTTACCAGTTATATCCCTTTTGAAGTGTCTGACTCTTCCATCTTGGCAAATCTTCCTCGGATCCTTGGTTGATTATCAGCGAGAGCCTTTCTGCAAGCATACTGTAAAGTACCATTTTATGATCAGTGACCGGATCGCCCGAACGGTTTGGAATAAACAAAATACATTACAGTGCCTAGTCGCAAAACACTAAGATGATGCGGATTTTGTCTCAACATGTTTCCAGAAAAGCAGAAAACAATAAGGACTAGGATCATGCAAAATGAAGTGATGTCTTCGCCTTTTTCTTAGGCATGAAAAAGCAGTAGATTGTTCGAAAATGAGTCTTGCGAACACATTACCTTGATCTTCCTGCCAAAGTTCCTCTTGCTCTTCTTGTTTCTGTATCTAGAAAGCTTTTCCCAACGTCCTTCGGAGGTGTAGTTGCTGAAAAGTATCGGCTGCTGTAGTGGAGATTGGAATCCCACATTACCACCATCAAGAGTCTGTCACAAAAATACAAAGTGTCAATGACGAGGCCTCAAATGGTTTTAGCATCCATGAAAGTTGACATTTTCACAGCTTTTAGAATTGCATAATGCATCAATGCAGTCTTAATGGTAGATAACTGATAAGTTTTGGCAGCTTAAGCTACTGAGATACGATGAGGTAAAAATTAAAATAAAGACATTTATATCGACTTGACTTCACTGAACTGGAGGTTAACTATGCTGAGGAAAGGAATTAGGATCTCTATGAATAATGTCAGCAACGACGACAAACTGAGAACTATCTGTGTTGCTAGATACGACGTCCACCTATCTGCGCAATCAAAAGGCCCGAAAATAGACAGAGGTCACTATGCTTCAGTAAGATGATACCCCAGTTGACAGGAAGAGTGAAGCCAACCCACCTTTACTAAGAAGTGAGAATCTCAAACTATTTAAAGCATTCGATGTCTATTCTCTTTTTTAAAGTAAAAATGCCAGTTGTTATGATGAGAGCAGACCTTTCCAAGTTCCCCCAAATAGAAATGCATAATGAAATTGTATGAAATAGTCACATAGTACTTCAATAACTAAGGAATAGATGAGGGTATTCCACTAAGAAAAGCTCATAAATACTACAAAACAATCGAACTTGACCTTTATGTCTCCTTCACTAAATGCCCTCCGCATTCCACACACCGTTCCATCTCTAAAGTCCACCTCGGCAAAATCGAGGAAACTTGGCTTCAGTCCACTAATGATTCCCATGGAACTCAGACTTCCTGTGCTAACACACTTGGGGAATGGTACCTGGGGAGGCAAATTGTTCTCTTGAGATTGGTTCCCATCAATACTCATCAGAGGAACTTTCATGTCCATGACTTCGGCGATCGAGGCACCGAATGCACCTTGTGCCAAGAGATCCTTCTTACACTCATAGAAAACCTCACTTAAGAGCGGCTCGCCCTGAAGCGATACGATATCACCGGATTTGAGGCCTTGAGAGGAAATGACATCTTCCGGCCCAGAGATCATTGAGATGGCTGCTGTCATGAGATCGAGCCTCGCAATTGGCTCCTCAATTATTGGCTCTGGAGCTTTGAAAAGATCCCCCGCCCCACCGAGGTCATATT